GACACATGGCTAGTGGTGTGCACGTGAGGAACAGAGGACGGACAAGATCAAAGAAGCCAGGATTGTACCTGGTCCATAGCACAAAGAGGGGAGGTCCCACAGAACAATCAGAAGAAGATGGGAAAATGAAAAGCCAACAATTCGGTTAACCGATTCATTTCTCAATCCCCGGTTCATGCATAGCACGTCGTTTAACCGGTTCATTTTTCGATCACCGGTCAATTATACATTACACGAACTTTCAACTGATCCAGATAAGTAACGCGTTTTACGAAATGGCGCTAGCCAGCCGTTTTTCTCAATGGAAAGGTATATAGCTTTAAAATATTCCTCAAATCCTTCTCTATAAGCAGATGAGACAAATGGAAATGATTAAAGTTGACAGATTTGCTAATCCTGAGCTTAAGTCCAACAATAAGCAAATCATCGCTACAGTTGAACATTACTGTTATCTTAAGTAACTATCAGTAAATTCGGCTGATCATTTGAGAGAAGCAGAATATAGAAACAATGGACAATTATTTAAAACATTGGATATCTGGTAGACTTGATTTTTGCACCAAAAAATTGACAGACTGCATTTTACAGGCCTTCAGCTATAAGGCCACGAACCAACACAATAAACTGGTTATATCTAACGGGCACACCCGAAATCCGATTCATCGAAGAATGGCAGCTAGACCAGCTCCAGCCTGCAGTCTCCCTGGTTGGACACCCCAGGCGTCCGTCTGGCCGGCCACGTGTTCATGAACAAAGCCTCACATCTGTTAAGTCTCCATAGTTTGGTTGTCATTGTTTGTTAGGTTTTGTTTTTCATTTTGTTTTTCTTACATTCGTGTTTATTACAAAATTCCAAAACAATGTGGTCACCAGGCACGTGACTGTGAGACGGACAGATGTTCTCTGTGTGCATATAGTAATGTATACATTTTCAATGCAGGTGTGTTTACGCCCCCTCCCCCCTCCCCCCTTCAAGGCCCCAATATGCACAATTTAGAGCATTAAGGAGGTCAGCTTCGACAGTGCCTGTGAGTGCCAACATGGGCTGAGAGGTAAACAACATCCCACCAGAAAGACCGAAATATTCGATGACACCCCCCCCCCCTTTTCGAGAATCGAATTCGAATCTCCCGAGTGCGACGGCCAAGCGCCTAACCAATACACCATAGACGCCGGTGTTCCCTATAATAATATAACGACTTCGTAGTCTTACCAAAGATCCTTTGGTCTTACTAGGTCAGACAACACCAAGGTACAGCTGGCATGACGAGTCTGCGGCCATCATGTCCACTGTCAGAAAAATATTGCGTCCATCAGCAAATGCCCTCAACTGTCACGCTACCCTTGTGAACCCATGTTCTCTTAGTTTAGTTTATTTAAGTTTAGTATATTTTGAGAATGAGTTTTCTGGCACTTGCAACACAAATAGACGATATAAGTGCCCAAGCTGAGAGGTGTTACTACTTGAGAATAACATACACAGAAAAGAAGAAGAGATAAGGACGATATTTGTTTGATAAAAAAGAAAGAGCATACAATACCAGAACGCCACCCACTCACTCTACCCAGGAGAACCCATGATCACTATTCACAACACCAAACAAAACCTCCGAAAGCTCTTGTCCTTCATGCGGGCAGTGTTCTTAACACCCAACACTCGTAGTTATTGTTTCTCTTCTTTTTTTTTTTACTTTGGCCTGAGTTTCCAGTGCCCAACGACATTTACTGCTTCTCTTTCCGATCACTCTAGCAAATATTTCCAACAATACAAAATATTCTTTCGCTTTCTTTGTTCTTTTACAAGGGATAATATTCCCAGCATCCATCAGTACTTATTGCTTCTGGGGTTTTTTCCTTTTACTTTGGCTAATATTTATTTCCAACATCCAACAATACTTAAAACTTCTCTTTTCTTTTACATCTGGCTAATGCTTTCCAATTCACTACGTATATAATGGCTTCTCTTTTCTCTTTCTTTGATTAATGTTCTCAACACACGCCTACACCATTTTCTTTCTTTGGCCAAGGTTCTCAACCACAAAATACTTAAGTTTTCGTGATTTTTTTCTGCTACTCCCCGATAATGGATCAAGCATATATACGACAGTAAGATGAAATTTGTATGAGTAACGGAAAGGAAACGGGCAACCCTATTCTACGTGCATCCCCCTACCTCTCTTTACCATCCATTTCCATTGTTCGTTTAATCATTCATTGTTGTTTCGTTCTACGTCCTAGTCTCTCCCTCATCCGCCCACTGTCAACACTGACATGTCTATCGCCGGGATAAAGAAGGCGCGCGCGCACACGCACACAGAGGGGAGAGAGAAGGAGAAAGAGAGAGAAAGAGACAAAGAGAGGGGGAAGGAGAGAGAAGGAGGGAGAAAAACATAGAGATAGAGAGAGACGTAGGGAGGAAGGGGGGGGGGGGAGATTGATTTGCAGATACGAGCATCGACAGACTTACAAACTCAGACGACAGAAACCTCTCCTTATTCCTCTCCCTCTCGCTCTCTCTTTCTCAACGTCAAACACACACACACACACACACACACACACACACACACACACACACAAAGCCAGAAGAAGGGGGAGGACACCCGTCAAGTCGCTAGCCTCCTCCTGGCGATGGCACCCGTGATAAAGAGGGGTAAAATAACAGGGCACGGAAATTTGGGCCGCATTTTATTGGTGGTATCGAAGATGATGGTATCGAATAACCTTAGATGGTGTGACTATGTATCAATTTGGTTCACATGGGCTTAAAAACTATACAATCAACTCATTTGACAATGGAAACAAGAAGCCTACTAAGACGTTTCTTGTGATTTTTCAAGTTTATATTTTGATTGATATTATATTCAGAAATAAATATAAAATCAAGGAAAACACAAAACCCCAAAATAAACAGTCTAGATAATTGACGAACGAAATCAGTTTGATACACACCAAAAATTCTGTATTACTCGGTATCCATCTTTTACGCACAACTAAAATTGATATTCGGAACTGTAACTTATTTGTGTTGCAAGTGCCGTAAAACTCTTTTACCAAAACTAAGAAAAGAATCGATACCAACAGAAAAAACTGCGTAAATAAATTGTCCACTTCAAAACAAAAAAAAACGGGAAAAAAGAAAACAAAAATCCCGCCACGAACTATCGGCCCAGCCCAGCCCAGCCCAGCCCAGCCCTGCCCTGCGCCGCCAGAGGTTATTGCCCCTGCCAGGGCAAGGGAGATGATGATGCGCGTGCGCTGACTAAAAACAGGAGCAGCGGGACGGCCGTGATGACAGGGTCAAGGCCGGCCGCTCCTGGCAGTTTTGTTTGTAGTTTCGTTTTATCCCCGATGTAATCAGTGTACCGTTCTACAGTCACAGTCGGGGATGAGAGAGAGAGAGGTGGGAGATCTATTTGGGGGTGAAGACTGCTGTTTTTACGTCTCGCAGGTACTTCACACAGGTGGTGTGTGTGTGTGTGTGTGTGTGTGTG